CTTTTAAAGTGTAGTAATTTCAGATTGTATTGTAATACAGAGTAAAGAAGAATAATTCATTTTGTCAATTGGGTTCTAAAGTAACTGAACCATCCTGTGTGGACTTTTGATGTAAAAGAGAATTATTTAAAGCTATGATTACAACTGTGGTAATTAACTGTGTAACAAACATTGGTATATACATTTGACTTGTTTTACTATATTACTTGAAAACAAGTGGACTGTGTGCTGTTTGTTTATTGTTGAAATTTATCAACATCAAGTCACAGACACCTACTGTAAAGAATCTTGCCCAAACATAAAAAACCTGACAAAGTATTCCTAAAATTTTTAAAAATTCCTAGAAATTTGTGATTTTACTAAACTTCCTAAAATAGTTGTCAAAAAAGGAGTTTTCCTGATTTTTATGTCTTACCAAGAACTAAATTGATATAAAGCAAATCAAAGTATATTATGAAGGTTCTGTTTCAGCCAATTTTTTCACTGAATCATCTTTAGCTTTATCATCAGCATATTTCAAATTAAAAATGGCTATCCATAGTACCATATCATCTATTGAATGTGGCGAGTAGTAATGAAATGGAAATCTTCTTACATAATAAAACAATTGAGTGATGTAGTGGTGCTTCTTTCACTTATATCTAGGTATGAGTAGGAAAGATGTAGAACTTTGCATTGCTAGTTTAATGGTAAAGTAAATATTCTGAAAACCAGCCTTGTCTAGGACAAAGTTGACTTCTTTTTAACATTTTGTCCTTTAACCCTCTCCGGATGGGTCACAGGTCAAAGGCCATGTCAGCACCTTTGTTGACTCACATTCAAAATCTTATTGAACTGCTATTTCATAAATTTATGTCAATAAGTTTGGTATCAAACTGTAGATTATAATTCAAATTTTAACATTATTTAATTTCTTAATTTAAAAGTAAATATTAAAAAACCACAGTTAAACATAAATTTTTGTGTGTCACGTGGTATGTTGAATGCAGCGCTGTTTCAAGTTAGATGCCTGTAATGTCAAAATACTAAGTCTATAGTTTTGTAAGAATTAAGAACTCAAATTACCAATATTAACAAGTTAGAATATAAAATAAGAACCTCATATCTTTTCTCTTTGCTGAGATATCACTCGTACTGAATCAAACAAAGTGGCTCTGCTCACCTCTTTCCATTTTTGAAATGGTCCCTTATATACACTTTCTTCAATATATGACGTGAATAACAAATCGAAAAAGCTCAGAATATCTCTCTA